GTTTATAATAGTTATCAATAAGCCGTCTTGCATGCAAGGGACCTATTTTGACAGCAAAATTCAAGTTGAGCGCAGACTCTTCAAGACAACTTATGAAGTTATTCTGTACAGCAAGAATGACACTTTTTACTATTTAAGGACTAACAAATTCGCATGTGATCTCTAGGCAGACCAGTGTTGACTTGCTGATTTTTAAATATATGCAGAGAAGAATATCTTAATGGATTGATGCTGACACTAATTACATTTCTTTTGAATAGACGGGTGGAAGGGATTCGTAAATTGGACCGCCGGATACCGAGGAGAACTTGACCTGGACATGTGACTGTCGGATTATGCGAAGAAGACCCCGGCTCACTGTTCTCTAGGCCTTTTCGAACAATCCAATAGTTGCACACCCAAAGCAATCCTCTTTCAGTATCCGGTGGGGCCAATTTACGAATTCTTTCCACCCGCCCTTTCAAACGAATTGAAAGGCATGCCAGCATAGATGATTTTCCTTTTGAGCGAAAGCTTGTGATGAAGAGATTCGTAGGCCCATCTCATTAGAAAAATGTTCCGTCATTTTTTTGTGGAATCGACCTACGAACCTTTTTTCGGTTGCCGTAAAAGATCTCCTTCGCTGATCAATTGTCTGGGTTTTGATGAATCTCCTGAGATAACATTGTTGGGGGGGCTTTTATTTCGTATGAAAGCGCATCATTTGTCTCCCTAGTCAGCTCCATTCTAATAATATAGCCATGGAAATTGCAGAACCAATCTGGTTTTGTCTGAATATGCCTAAGGATTAAAGGTCAGACATTTATTAATGCCCACCTTCTTCAAAAGTCTAAATACTATCATCGAAAATCCTATATTGTTACGTTCCTTTTACACGATATGAGTGAGATTGTTTTCTAACCACTATTTCACTATTTGCACGCGATTTGGCAAAAGATGCGGCAAAATAATTAATGATGAAGAAGACGACTTAATGTATCTGTCAAATATTTATTGGGCAAGAGTAAAAAATGGCCTCTGAATTATCAGATCCGAGAAATCAGCACAAATACTATGGCAGAGGACGCAGGCTTGGGCACTTTTCACAAGGTCTCCCTGTCGCTCAGACCAAGAATTACTTCATTTAATCTGGACTATATGAGTAAGCAGTATTCACAAATTACCTGAAAATAACTGATGTTTCTAGTACACTTTCCTTTAGAGGAGCGATGCCGAAAGTCGAGTGGGATCCGAACACTTAGTAACTATATGATATTAGTTATTTTGCAATAATCAGCTAAGCGAATTTGTAAGTGAAGATGTTCCACCAGCTATTCGGTATCTGGGGGGCAAAATAGTTCCCACATTGCACAGTTATTATGATTGGCTCAAACAATAGCACTGGTTTGACATTCATAGCATAATAAATAAATTTGATTCCCAGCATTTTCTTAATGGCTATACGAACCTATTGTACCAGGGATTGTTTGGTCTAACTGATTGATTTGGCTCTTGGTGCCAGTGTTCATTTGTTCTATCCAGACGATGGAGACAGCTAACTTGGGAAGAGCTCTGCACACAAAAGCAGAACTCAAAGCGCCATTTCATTAATTTATTTTAATCTGAGAATAGTCCACACTTATCCTCTTTTGTTCCAACTGAATGCTCCTAAATTCAAAGCAATTTACATTACAAATAGGAGAAATAGAGACTAATTGGATAATCAAATTACTAGAATATTAGACAAGAAAATTCACAACTGTCACAATCGGTATAACCAACCAATAAAAGCGAAGTTCGTCGTGAAGTATTGCTTCAAATCCTGACTATGAATGTCGCTGGCAGGCACTCGATAGCACACGTAACGGGACTCATCAGCAAATGGGGCACGGGTTGTAGCATTTAGCACATGAGTCACTCCAAGTTCCCTGAGTACTCGTTCATTGGTTGCATCGTACATGTTACCTGAGCAAAGTTAATAAAAATTCTTTCTGTCAATATATTCTCTCAAACAATACGGCATCTGTTTGAATAATTAGATTTATAGCGTCGACAATCCCACCACAGTATATGATATGGGAAAATGTCTGGCCTTGTTAGAATACACATCTGCCCTATGACCCAACGGCACTAGTGGCAATGCGGCGTAGTGGTTCACGTGTCGAGATTATACGCTGCCTCGTCATGGTTCGAGTCCCGCTAGGGATGTTGATAAGACCTAGGCAAGGTCGAAACTGCATTCCACCCTGAATAAGAACAGCTTTTGGGGAACTAAGGCTATTTGAAATACAATGTAAGCGTCATTGTGGAAAAATTTCAACTACCAGTTCTTCATCACCTTGAACAGAATAGGGTCAACACAACTCATATATCTGAATAAGTAGAGACGAAAATTTGCTGAAGATGATATTACCCAAAAGGGGTATTTCATATACAACTCAAGGATTTATGAGCTTCTGTTAGTTCGAATGGACTACCTTTAGAGTTCACATCTAGTTATAAGCAATTTTCATGTCGGCTCAATCGAGCCAGATGTGTAATGTTGGAAAGACCGTAAATTATGTACGTGTCGGATATAGCTCAATAAACCAAATTAACAGATTCTCCTCATCTATAGAAAATAAAAGACCCGCATCACTTTCTGGCATTAAGTTAGTCTATGAGAAAGATTTAATTGATACAATCATGGAAATCACTATCAATGCATTGGTATCAACTATGAGTGTCTGTTTTATCATCCTGAGGCTCTTATCCTTTAACCCTCCTAATTCCAACTATCTAGTACTTATGAAAGCTAAGCTTTTCGCTTACCCAGGAGAAGAAATGGAAATATCCAACTCGTTTCTGCTCGCAGAACGTCTTTAGAATAGGAGGCAGTCATTGGCACTGGTTCAATCGGTGTAGACCAGTCGAACACGAGTCGTGCTAGAACACGTTGTATAGATTCAGGAGTTGCCAAAGGGGCAGTTTGATCTGTAAAAGACAATTTGGCATGCAAATAGTCATTGATTGGATGGCGGGAAATGAGCTCGTTCGGAGAGTCTGGAAACCGGCTTGTCGGACTAACAGAGACAGAAGGAAGTGTTTGAGACGAGGACTTGTGCAACTGGGCTTCGGCTAAGCATGGACACGAGGAGGAGCGAAGTAAGCGGGACTTTGCTGGACGGCATGTACCAGAGCTGTTCGACGACAGAGCACGGGAGGGACAAGAAAAGTCAATACTGTTGATAGCAGGCACTTTCCTTTTGTCTGGGGCCTGCCCAGAAATAATCAGGTCTGGTCGGCTGATGAGACCGGTCTCAGTTTGACGCCGCCGCCGACACAACCAGCAGGCCGATAGTACAGACCTCAGTGACAACGAGTATGAGGTCGTAGAGAAGACAAGCTTTTCGGGTTTGGCAGGCAACTGAGG